TCTCCATGGTTTGTAGTAACAAGAAGCTATTAGGAACAAGTGCATCGCTAGTAGTAACAAGTGCCTTACTAGTAGTAACAAGAAGCCATGTCGAAACAAAAATCCGACTGAGTCGACAGAAATTATCTCCATGGTTCCCACAAGATCGGAAAACAGATTGTTGGCAGCTGCCCGGGCAGCACGTTGGCCAGTCGGGGCTCATCAATGGCTGAAGGCAGCGACAGCCGGTGGCCAGTTGATGAGAATGTGAGTGACCGTTCTGAGGCAACGGGGTCTTGTTCCCGTCGGAGTTAAGTTTCCTTAAACATCTAGGAACCAAATCGCTTCTAGGTTGGAGGCCATCGCTAATAGGTTGAAGGCCATGGCTATTAGTTTCCCTAAAAGCTAGGAACCAAATCATTAGTGCAAGGCGTGAGCTATCCTGCGTCCACATGTAGCGTCTCAGTGGAGCGTCCACCCTACTTAATTAAGTAGGCGCCTACCTACTGTAACTAAGTAGGAGCCTTAAAAAACATCATGCATGATTGAACCATTTCAACCCTCCCTTACTTCTGCTGGTGGCTGGGTGGCGAGCTTTTTGGAGAAAGTTGAACCAAAAGAACCAGTTCGGAAAGATGGTGACTTCCACTAAAGCGGAAAAAGTTTCGGTTTCGCCAAAGCCGGAATCCCCCAGCACATGGTTTCCCTTATTGCATCCAATCTTACTGCCTCGAATAGCACTCATGACATGCGCCTTCGTCACACCTGGTCACATGAGCTGCAGTTATTGGAATGGGAGGTCCACGGCCCGACCTTTAATATTGCAACTGCTAGATTGTAGCTTCAAGTTTGGGCTTTGTGACCGGCGCTTTCACACACTTGCTTGGCCGAGCACTGAATTCCAGTGTCCCGCACTCCCTGCTCCCTGCTGACATGAGTCGCCCTGAGTGTGAGAAGTTTCGACAAAACAGGTCCGATCAAGCAGGACAGCAGGACACCATGTGCCACCGTGCAACCTACCGGCATGTTGCCTTGCAGACCGAGCGTTTGCACGGTCCGATTCTTCCTCAAAGCCATTGGGCTCAAAGGATCCACTGTGCACATTGCAATGAAGATGGTTTAAAGACTCAAGACCCAAGACTGAACAAACCCTTGGGTCTTGAGTCAAGCTTCGATCTTCACAAACATGGGCTCAGTCCCCAGAAAGTCATCCAACTGCCAGGATGAAACTCTTGTCGAGGATTAGTGGCGAGCTCGCCGAACCAACAGATGCTTTTCGGAGACAGCTTTTGTCAAGCAACAAAAGTTATATATAGTTTCTTGAAAGAGTCTCTCGTGTTTTCATTGTGTAAGCAAGCTGGAATTGCGCTTCATCTCTTCATTTGGTGCAGTGGGTTTGGTATTGGAAAGCCAACCGTTATTTTGGTTCCTATGGCAAAGAAGCGGCCAGCAGCCACGCCAGCAAAAGCTGCAGGTGCACTCTTGCGGTGTTAACTTTGGACATCTTTGGACGATCTCAATTAGGAAGCCACCTTTTTGGATTCGATCGTCTAGCTTGGAGATGCGTCCACAGTCGTGATGTGTCTTGTTTTTTCGTGCCAGCTCGAAAGGGTTTCCTTGGAACATCATGGTGCGGTCAAAAGTCACCGCATTGGGTCCGTTCACGAGTTTACCGGTTCCGGTTCACCCCCCCTAGGCCGCCTAGCAGATCCTTGCAGGCCGAAGAAAGAAGACCCTGGCCAAGCCGGCAATCAAAGGCAGATTCCAAATTCTGTTTGGCATTTTTGCATGAACCCAGCGCATCCTGGAGTTAATTCACTTCTGCCACAGACCATATGTGAACAGGCGCGAAGAAACCAGCTGCTTCGGCCAAAGCCAAGCAGCTAGGCGCTAGAGGCGAGATTTGCAGCACCTGGAACAAGGATCCGAACATGGGAAGATAAGAGAGGCGTGACAAATACAGAAGGGAATTTGGGTGGGTTCTGCAAGTGAATCTTCGACCTAGCTAGATGCCTTGAAGCATCAGGCCTTGATCTGAGTTCTCCTAATGGTATTACCAAGCCTCCGGAAGCTAAAGGTTTTTTCAAACAGACACAGTTGACCTGACCCTGATTTTTCGCACATTTTGGACTGCCACCGCTACTGTAGGGCCGGCCAAAGTCGCCAAAGCTGCCAAAGCGGACAAAGTTGCCAAAACCAAGCAAAAGACTCCAAGAGGCAGGACACCTCAGACAAATCCACACTAGACAATCCGAAAACTCTGAAAAGCTGAATGCTCCAGTCGCCTTGCATGAGCCTGTAGAAAGGTGGATGGAGCGTCTTCGTCGTAGTGGTTCTGCAAAAAAAACTTGTGAGATTGTTGGTTGAATTATACAATTTACACAATCACATCTCTTCTGATATCTGCCAGATTAGATTGGGAACTGCTGCAACTGGTTGCAGGTGTGGTTTTGGCCTTGTCGAAGGAGATTGACTTCTCCAAACCGTTTAAGAAGGCCGTCCATATCCAAGCTTTTGTTTGGAGAGTCTTCAGGTGGTATGTTTGTCATACCCAAAACATATGAGCAGGGCATATGTTGCGACGTTGCAAGTGCCTCCGGGACAACAGTACATCGGGACAGTAGTACATGGGATGACAAAAGTAACTGCGACCTGGGCCCTTCGGCCGCGGAGTCTGCGACTAACTGTACCAGACCAATGTCTTATAACCTTTGTATATGAGTCTTGTGTCTTATGAACAGGAACAATTGCCATCTCCCTTTGGCTCAAGCTCAAGGCCGACCTGCGCAGGTGCTGTATGTGCTGAGGGGCCCTCCGGGCTGTGGGAAGAGCACCGTGGCGCGACTACTTCTTCAAAGACATCTCCAGGTGCAAGGGGTACGCCACACCCTTGGATGCCTTGAGACGCTACTAGGAGCAAGGACGCTACTAGGGGCTCCTGGCCTTACTGCTAGGAACCCTAGAGACGGCCTAGGATGCTACTAAGAGTTTGGGATCCTCGGAGATAAAAGCACAGCTCAGTTTTCCTAGAAGCGCCTAGGCCAGTTCGCAGCGTGTGCGGATGAGCTTTAGTGTTTTGAGACCACAGAAACTAAGCAAATCCATTGCTTCGTTGCCCTTCCTGCCCCATGCCAAGACCTGTTGAAGCGATCCTTTTTCCAAGGCTGGAACGGGTCTTCTGCAGGTTCGACTCCGGAGCAGGGATTTTGACCAGACAGGATAGGCGGCGTTTCAAAAGGATCAACTCACCTCTTCTCTATTCATGAACCCTAGTTGAGTCAACCAGCAGGGCGACTTAAAGTCAGTTCGTTGCCTTTTCTATTCGGAGCTTTATGAGATTTCGCAAGAACCTGACATCTTTCCAAGACACCAGTCTTGAGTCTTGAGAGGAGTTGTCACACTCACGCGTTCCTTCAAGCTCCAAAGGTGCCGCCATCTCTACAGTCTGTCGAGCCTTCATTTGTTCCACGGACGACTACTTTACGGAGCTGGATGAGGAAGGAGGTGCGAAACAAGGAACTCCAGCTGCGTCAGTCCCTTTGCTGGTTCACCCAACATGCAGAGACCTCTGAGTGAGATTTAGCGGGTTAAAACACTCTCTTCATGATTCTTCATTCATTTGCTATGCACACTTGTTTCAGGAAGACTTTTCAAGATACTCATCTCATGTTTCAGGAAGTGAGAGAAATGCCTCGTTCTTGTGTCCGTGTCGACGCCGAGTGAGTTCCAGGTGCCAGCTATGACTTCGACCCCTCATGCCTGCGAGAGTTCCACGAGAAGAACCGAAAGCGTTGCCTGGACGCCATGGAGCCCCTTGGTTCCACCTTGGTTCTTATTCAAGAAGCAGACTGTGTATATATATATATACAGGAAAAGAAAGGGATGAGAAAAGGAAGGTAAAGCACTCTTTAACAAGGTTATGTTTGAAGTTTGAATGAGCACTATTAAAAAGCCTTACCCTTCATTCTTCTCATCCCTCGAATGAGCTGCATGACTTTCTTCTTCTGGCTGACTTGAAACTCTGTACTCCGTTAGCCAGGTGTTGTGTGCATTCCTCTTTTATGGTTTGTCAACTCTCAACAATGGCATTCTCTTTGCAGTGAGGCTCAGCAGAAGCCCTTTGTTCGTGGACAACACCAACATGGCGGGCCTGATTGTTCTTTTTTGATTTGCCTCACCGGCTAGTTGCGTCCGTCTGTCTCTTCACGAAAGGTAGCCCTTTAGGGGATACCTTGAGTTTGTCTTGCGAAGCAAGTGTTGGGACGTCCGGGTCTAATAATTGATCGCTCAATTCAGACCCCCCCCA